CCTTTCTCAGCTAGGATCATGTCTAAAGCCAGGCGATTTTGAATGGCCATCAGGGAGGTTGCAGCTGTTTGTTCTGCCAATCCTTCTATAGCATCACGAGTCAGGTTAGTCAAACGAAGAACATTGAAATGTACATAGTTAATACGATCAACATTCTTATTAGGAGTTACAGGGAACAAGGCACCAATTGTGGGCAAATTTTCAAATCCCACTTTGGTCCTTTGGACCTCCCTTTCCCAGGGCGCAGTCCCAGGCTAGACCCCGTTCCACTGAGGTCTCCGCCCAGGCTCCCCTGGATTGACAACTCAGCCTTCTGCTTCCCATTGTTTTCTTTTCAAAGACACAGAAGCACTACTCGCCTACTAACTCATTCGGTTTCGGCTTGTAGTGGCCTGACTGTACATTGAGCTGAGCGCGGCGGCCATCATCATGGTCTTACTGCCCTCCTGCGACCCGACCGGCCGGTGACCCAACTGCAGAGAAAATCACTGGGGCTGACCTGCCTTCTATTCCTGACTTATACATTTCCAGAGTGAGTAAAAGGGCAGGTAACATCACTGCAGACCCATCCCAGCCTGGACACAATCGTTGAGCATCTTACCAATATTATGTGTCTGCACCAGATGAGGCTGCAGTTTGTGGACCACCGTTGGAGGACAACATTTCTAGGACCCTTGTTTGTTGTGACAGCACCACCTCCCAAATTAGATTATTACAACAGTGTTTGACTTGCAGTTTCAAATGTGTATTACAACAAAATACTACTTCATGTCCAATTACGTACAGTTTGTTCAAGTTTTTTCCACCTAAAATAGTACTTTCTAATGAGCGAGTTGTGGTTTCAAAGGTTTAGCCATTGTTCTTTTTACTTATTTCTACATTTTTTTGCCAATGTCCGTGGGCTAGAAAAGCTAGCTCTTGTTTGGAGTAAACAAACGGTTGCCACGTTACCTGACTCAAAAGGGAGTTATTAAAATACAGGGGGCCTAGAACTGCAGTCCTGAAAATACAATCTCTTTGTCACTGTTAAGCTCTGCAAGCTACAATTATTTGTCAGGTTTCTTGCTTCAAATACAGTCAGAAAACTGAAAAGTAAATATATTTTTTATCAGTTCTTGGATCTTTTATTTTTTCGGGAGATAGATACATGTTAATTACTCAGCACCTAATAAAAAAACCTTGTATATGTGGGGCATATTAAGCAGGGATTTGAGCATCTTGCCACAGCAGATACCAAGAGTCAAACCAATAATATGTATGAGCAGCAGATGAGGCTCGGTTTTAGGGCCCCAGCTGTAGGACCGCATTTCTGGGACCCTTGTTTTGCTGTGACACCGCCTCCTACCCAATCTGATGCTTGCTAAAGTATTATGATTTTAAAGGTTTATTTCAACCAAGTAGCATTTTGTAATAAACAAGTTACGGTCTATACCACCCAAAATAATACTATTCTCTCAAGTACTTGGAATTATAAAGGTTTATTCAACCATAATAAAACTTTGCATCAAGCGAGTTATGCTTTGAAAGATTTATTACACTCAAGTATTACCATTTAAAGAACAAGTTATGATTTGAAAGGTTTATTCCTTCATAGTTTTGCCCAGTACGTGTGGGCTTGAAAAACATGTCTGTGGTGTAGAAGTGATTGCTGTTTTATTTGGCCCCAAAAAGAGTTAATAAAAAAAAAAAAAACAAGGGTCCTAGAAGTGGGGTCCTGAAAGTGCAGCAGACCAATGAGAGAAATGCTTGATTTTCCTGCATTCAGGTTCATTATTTTATGTATTTATTTGCAATTTATGGAGGGATTGTTTTAATTTATGTAAAGGAACACACAAAATTCAAGCACCATCACTAAAGTTTTTAACAGTTAAAAAAAAAGAAGTCCTTATGTTTGATGATGCTTTCTAACTATTGAGAGGGATGTCTGGATTTATTCTGGATTCATTCATATTAAGTCTTAAAAACAAACAAACAAACAAAAAACAGCTACACATGTGTGCTCTTTGCAAATTGGCGGCAATAATAAAAAAAAAAAGCCAGTGCACTGAGTCCACTTTGACACATATAACAGGAAGTGTGGGGTTTGACCGGGTCACCGCTGTATCAGCCCAGGATCAGGCGAAGGGAGGACCGGAGCGAACTCGCCGCGGCATGAGCGATCCCGATGCAGCCAGCGGCTCCACTCCGACCTGCACTTGACTTTAGACTCACTTGACTCTCTGCGGCTGCAAACATGTCTCGATTCGTCGGACGTCTCTTCGTGCTCGCTTCTCGACACGCGACAGCAAGATCTGCGGCGTTACCGAGGAGGATCACCCGTCCTGTATCCACGTCTCAAGGTACTGAGCTTTTGATGACTTCTTTTTTTTTTTCCTTCTTCTTCCTTCTGCTGCCACAGCGCTGTTTGCATATAGCTCCCTGCAGCTGCACCATGCTGCATGTTGAACAGGCCTATTGGGACCTCTTACTGTGTTTTTCAAGGCACTTTTTTTTGGTGCTTGTGCAAAAGAGCAGTGTGGTTAACAACAGAGGAGTTGGAATAAACTAAATTGTGATGTTTCTTGAGCTGGCAAGCTGGCAGGATGACTCAGAATCTGTCATTCATTGTTTTGTGTGCTGATTGGGGGGAAAAAATCCTATTATAAACAGATGGTTTGAATCAAAGCAATATTCTTGTGACAGTATTGTTTGCTGGATTGTTATATATGACTATGTGTTGAATGTAAATGCAAAAACTGTGGCCTCTAATCTGTGCAGGCCTGCAGTCTCTCACGCGATACAATAAGACCACAGACTGGCAAAAGAAGCTGACCCCGGAACAGTATGTTGTCACCAGAGAGAAAGGAACTGAGGAGGTGAGTCTGATGGATGAAAAATTACATGCTACACCCCAAGATCAACGTATTACAGTGTTCTGAATTAATAATTCATTTTATTTTAACCAGGAATCCCCTTGAAATTAAAATCTTTTTTTTAAGGGAGACCTGTGAGAGAAGGCACGCGGCAATAATCGAAAAGATTCTAAAGTCGAGCACACATTGGACAAAAGTCTGACACAAGAAAACAACCAAGAGTTGAGTTGAAGGTTGTTCCAGGAGCAAAACTGCGCAGTGATCTGTGTCAAACCAGCACTTATCTCAGTGTTCCAGACTGACATACATATTATCTCATGAACAACAGCACAGTCCCAGAAGGACTTTGATCATCGCTGTAATGTTGACCTGCATCAGGTTCAGGCGGCTCAGCAACAAACCTCTCGTATGTTATGAATTAACCCGTGCCTCAGATACATGAGTAAGCTTAAAACGCAGATATGTTTCTGCTTGTAGTAACAGGGCCGGTTTCTGTGTCGCACTCACAAAGTCACGAGCTTAATAATAAGAAACTCGTAGCGTGATTAAATCACCCTGACGCACAACTTTTGGGTTTGGTCTCCTGACATTGTGTGTTCATGTGGGTCTTTCTCAGCCTTTTAGTGGGATCTACCTGAACCACTACGAGATGGGGATGTACCACTGTGTCTGCTGCGATTCTCCACTCTTCAGGTAACAGTTTGAATCTAACCTCGTCCAGAATTATGGAATCACAGGAGTGCCATAAAAAAAAAAATCTGTTAAAAAAAATAAGGAAACAAATGTGTAAATAAAAAGAGGACTAAATAATAGAATAAATAAAAAAAATATGGAAATATAAAGGTAAATTTTGTATTTGCTTTTCCCTTTTCCCTTTGTTTTTTTCCTTTTTGTTTTTCCATTTTGTATTTTTTCAACAAGAATTTGTAACAATTGCTAAGTATGTGGAAGAAAATTTTCAGCCAGACTACATTTTAATTAGATAGAAGATGTCAGTGAAAGTTTTAGGTAAATATTTGCGCTGACCAATACAGACATTAATCCGGTTGTGTGGCACAATGTCTTTTCTGTTGAACACTTCTTCTTAATTCCTCCACAAATTCCACATTTATTTTTCCGCCTTTCTGCTACAAGGATGTTGAGTGGAGCGTCACATAAGAGGGTTTTGTGTTGGTCGCTTACATGAAAATAGTTGTTCCCTCCTCTCTTTATAGTTCAGAGGCTAAGTATGACTCTGGGACAGGCTGGCCGGCATTCAAAGAGGCTCATGGGACATGGGAGCGTGATGAAAGCCACGCCTCTGTCATCCGTCGCCCTGACAACAGCCTGGGTAGTGCCGGCACAGAGGTCCTTTGTAAAAATGTGAGTTTTTTTTCTGAGCTAAAAAGCCAAAGGTCAGTTTGTGAAGTGAAATTGTGCTTGTTAATATACCTTTTAGGTGTTTTTACAAAGGTTAAAAAAAATAAAAAAAGTATATATATATATTTAAAAAAAAATTTTTTTTTGACCAAGGGAGTTTATGATTTTAAATATGTGTCTCAATCATACTTTGTACAAATTTCAATCACAATCTTCCATAAGTACAGTCATAACTCTGGTCATTTTGGTTGGCTAATGACTTTTGTGCGTTTGTCACACAGTGCGATGCCCACCTCGGCCATGTGTTTGATGATGGACCCGACCCGACAGGTCAGCGGTTCTGCATCAACAGTGCAGCCCTCGTGTTCAAAGCCAGAGAAAACAACAAACCTAACAAGGATGAGTAGAACTGATGGACTTGCCTAAACCACTGAAACGATATTTTTTACCTGCAAGTGAATCACGCTCAGTGTCTTGTTGAGAAACAGTGGATGTATGCAGGACATGAGTAGATGATTCAGTCGCTATGCTCTCTTAATGAAAGTCACAAGTCCCTTGATTTTTTATTTTTTTTTTACTGTTGACTAATCTTTTGTAAGAACTAGAATGTCATTTGAAGGGAGTTGAATGAGAAGCTTTGTGTAGGACGTCCTGGATAACCACACATGTAAAAACATGTTTTTAATTACATTTTTATGTCTGTCACTTCTTTATATATCTGAAAAAATTCAAAAAATATGATCTAATGAGACCTGTTTTTCTGTTGGAACCACAGATTGCACAACACTTGAAGTTCCCCTGTGGCATTGCTGTTATTTGTGTTTTCTGGTTTGGAGCCACATGCACAGAGCCAGTGTTAGGAATCATGCATACATGACTGATAAGTTGTCAATAAATGTGCATTTTGTTTGTTCTCTGACTCAAACGGTGTGGTGAACTCACAGTAGTATTTATTAGGACTTGCTTCCTGTCGTTCAGGAGCACACATACCAACACTTCACTATGGCCACATCTCTACCGGTAATCCAAGTTAATGTTTAACGTAACGGGCCATCCTCTGTTTCACAGTTTGTCTCCCGCTCTCTGTTCGGAGATTGAGTAAAGCTGAGGGAGGATCAGTAGACTGCAGGACAAGGAACCCAACAGAAAACAGAGAATTTAGAATCAAAGAAAATTAAGAAAACTGGAGGCCGAGTAGTCCTACAGACCAAGAAGACAGAACCTTGAGTGTATTACTGTTCCTGCTAGAATGGCTGGATTGTGGCGTTGCATGCTGGCAGTGGTGCTGCTGATGCTTGTATGCCTGTGGGGTATCACTGAGGCCGTAGGGGGGGCGAGGAGTCGACCACGACCCCAAAGGCGACCTCATAAGAAGCCAAAGGTTGAGCCTATTGACCTGGCCCAACCCGCGCCGAGCATAGACATACAACAGGTAAGAAACTAGAGGAGTAAACTCTGTATGTGTTTGAGCTATCCGTTTTTAACCTCCATTTATAGCCACCATCAAGGCAATGCTGAGATTAAGATTCACAAAAAAGCTGCATCAGAGAGAGAAGAGCTCATTTTCATAAATCAGGACTGTTTCCAGGCAGCGGACTGCAGCTGCGCCACAGTAAACACTTCAGTGTGCCGTTACCTGACCTTTGCGCACTGACAGCTTGATTCTGTTTCTCGCTTGTTTGTACAGAAATGCAGTGATATCACATACGAATAGGACTGCAAGAGAATCAGTGGGAATCATAACAGAGGTGGATCACTCGAGTCCATATAAACACAATAGAAACACTTGAGGAGACCACGAGGGGCACTTTGCATCAGTGCTGCAATTTTTTAAAATCCATATCTTATATATGGGCACTCACATTATTGAGATTAAAGCGTTTAGGAGCTTTAACATGTTCACACAAGTGACAATTCAAAAAAAATAGCTTTGTGTTATTCAGAGCTTCAAACATACAGCTCTGTCTATGAGCTCTGTTGTAGAGTAGTGTGGGGGCTGGCAATAGAGGCTTGTGTAATTGTGTCAATATTGTGTTTGAGGCAATAATGGGATTTCTCAGTGAAACAGAAATTGAACAGGTAGTTGATGAAGTGGAAAGAAGGAATCCATTTCCCCAAAATGCCTCCTCAAGTTCTATACTATTCTCCATGAACAAATATTTTTAAAATCTTTGTTTTTCCTCCTTGTCCGTTTGCCTGACCCTGCTGGTATGCGCTGCAGATAACAGGGACGTGGTACCTCCTCAACACGGCCTCCAAATGCTCCCACCTGATCAATCATGGGACCAAAGTGGAGCCGACAGTCATGACCCTGACACGTCCCGCTGATTCTGTCCAAACACTGTCCGTTAGCACTAAAACACGACAGTAAGTACTAAACACCGTGCATGTAGCTCACTTCAGTACGCTGGTTCGTCAGCAGAGGGAGCAAATCCCTTCACTCGCTCACCTCGTGCTTCCTGGACATGTGGATGATTTCAGTTGTGTACTCTGAAAAACAGGATGAAGGAGGCAGAACAGTTAAATCCGTCAGCTTTCCCGTCATCATTTTTTGAAACGTTCTGGGGTCGAGCTGACCTGGCTCTCGCAGAAAGACTGGGAAAACAATACACAGTTTAAATAGAAAAAATGTGTGCCTTGTTGTTTTTCTTGGACATTCTGGGCAAACGCTCACTCTCATTTGAGGGCTATAACGATTTTATGAGTTATTTTCTCATGCAACATTAACCCTCTGAGGTCTGAGGGCATATTTTGGTTTTTGCAAATCTTTCTAAATTGACATTTTAAAGGCAACTGCATATAACAGCCTTTTATTTGATATTCAAATTTAAAAAAAAAAAAAAAAAGCGAGGCACCCTGTTGTCCTAGAGCACTTTATACAAAGATAATTTGGTTCTAAAGCTGAGACGTTGAAGTCTAATTTAAAAAATTCTTGTCTTGTGAAAATATACCTTAACTCACGTAAGACTGAGTGATATATAACTATTCTGGGGCTTGAAATAAGTTTACCAAAGTGTAAGGTTCATGAAAGCAGTTGCACATATGAATAGAAATGAATAATTATGTGATAAATATGTAAAATGAAAGTTGTTTTTTGAGTGAAAGTGTTGCTTGACACTTTATAGTTTTAAAGGTATCAAATCCAATTAAAGCCGCAAGCGGCATTTGACGATTCCTCGCCCTACGCTTGTCGGCCTTCGCGCACGTCGGGGTGTGGCGCAAACGTGCTCCGGGCACTGATCTGGTGTGTCAAGTTTGGGGCAGATTGAAGCACGTGCGGCCTAGTTAGTTAGTTATGAGCCACTTCCTGTTCAGTGGTGAGCCGCGGCGGCGTGCGTGTAGGCCGTGGTGGAAACGCGGTCTAGCTGAGACTCAGAGCACGCGCGTAAAATTTCAGGCCGATCGGACCACACACGGGCCAGTTACACAGCACGTCTCTTATTCTGGCATTTTAAGGCATTGTGGCCACGCCCCCCAGGTGACATTGTGAGTGAGAGTGGTCATATGGCTGTGATGAGGGTGAGAGTGTAATGCAACATGTGAAGTTTGAGAGCAATTGGAGCATGTATTGGCTATTTACACTTCACTTCCTGTTAAATGGCGAGCCAAGGCAGCGTGCATGGCATGGCATGCTGGCAACGCCCTGTGGCTGAGACTCAGAGCACGCCTGTAAAATTTCAGGCCGATCGGAGCACACACAGGCCAGTTACACAGCACGTCTCATATTCTGGTGTTTTATGGCGTTGTGGCCAAATTGCGAGGGTCGCCATTTCCACGGCATCAGACTTTTGCAGACTGTTTTGCTAACGTTGAACCACCACCTCCTGTACTTTGTGCTGGCCAAATTTCAGGTGTGTACGACCTTCCCTGTAGGAGGAGATAGATTTGGAAAATGGGCAAAAATGGCCAAAAGTCAGCCAAATTCGGCAACATTGTCAGCGTGTTTTTTTCAAAATGGCGGACTTCCTGTTGGGTTTAGGACTTGGTGCTGATTGACTTTTTTGTGCGTCCTGACCTGCTACACATGCCCACCAAATCTTGTCGGTGTAGGTGAAACGACCATCCGACAAGAGTCAATTGAATGCAAAAAACACTGCGAAAATGTCCAAACCGGGCCTCATCTGTGGAGCGTTTTAGTAACTTTTTATCACCACCTCCTGTAGTTTATTCTGGCCAAAATTCAGGTATGTATCTGGCCTGTCGAGTTTCACGCAGATCGGAGCAGGTGTGACCTAGTTACGAGCCACTTCCTGTTTAGTGGTGAGGTGCGGCGGCGTACATGTTGGCCGTGGTGGAAATGCGCTCTGGCTGAGACTCGGAGGACGCGTGCAGAGTTTCAGGCCAATCGGCGCAAACACAAGCCAGTTACACAGCACGTCTCGTATTCTGGTGTTTTATGGCGTTATGGCCAAATTCAGGGGGTCGCCATTTCGATGCACCCTTTGGGTGCTTGGACCCTAATAATCACAAGGGTTTCAATAGGGTCCTTGCACTGGTGTGCTCGGACCCTAATTAACGCCGCAAGCGGCGATGGACGGGTCCTCGCCCTAAGCTTGTCGGCCTTTGCGCACGGCGGGGTGTGGTGAAAATGTGCTCCGGACGGGACTCTGATCTGGCCTGTCGAGTTTCAGGCAGATCGGAGCAAGTGTGACCTAGTTACGAGCCACTTCCTGTTTAGTGGTGAGGTGCGGCAGCGTACATGTTGGCCGTGGTGGAAATGCGCTCTGGCTAAGACTTGGAGCACACGTGTAAAGTTGGAGGCTGATCGGAGCACAGACACAGCACGTCTCGTATTCTGGTGTTTTATGGCGTTGTGGCCAAATTCAGGGGGGCGCCATTTCCACGCCGTCACACTTGTGCGGACCGTTTTACTAACGTGTAATCAGTACCTTCTGTAGTTTGTGCTGGCACACTTTTAGGTGTGTATGACCTTCCCTGTAGGAGGAAATCAAAATTGCCAAAAGTGTCACCTACTTTTTTTAAAATGGCGGACTTCCTGTTGGGTTTAGGCCTTGTCCCCAATTGACTTTTTTGTGCGTCCTGACCTGCTACACATGCCCAGCAAATCTTGTAGCTGCAGGTGAAACAGCCCACTCAATTGAATGCCAAAAACACAGCGAAAATGGACAACATGACCAAATTTCAGGTGTGTACGATGTACCGCCGAGGAGGAGATAGATTTTGAAAATGGCCATTTTTGAGCGAAAATGGCTCGACATGCTCGCTGTTGTTCCAACATGGTGGATTTCCTGTTGGGTTTACAGAAACATGCTGATGGACTTTTTTTGTGTCACGAGTTGTTCCATATGTGTGGCGAATTTCGTAGTTCTACAGTAGGTGAAACGTAGCCCCGATGGGACTCTGTTGAAATATTGTAGGGAGCGCAGTTGAGCCGTGTTGCATTTTAGAGCTTGCATGGTGATTTTGGTGAGTTTTTGACTATGTTTAGTGCCTCAAAAATGCATCTCTTTCTCATGAATAATAATAATAAAAACCTGAGCAGTTGCAATAGGGTCGTCGCACCCTTTTGGGTGCTCGGACCCTAATAATCACAATGGTTCCAATAGGGTCCTTGCACTGGTGTGCTCAGACCCTAATTAACCCTGCAACTGTCTAGAAAACTCTTCTCTTCTCTTCTCTTCTCTTCTCTTCTCTTCTCTTCTCTTCTCTTCTCTTCTCTTCTCTTCTCTTCTCAGTAATCACCAGTGTTGGGAGATATTACAAGTCTACCATTTAACTTCCACCCCAGGACGACTAACGCTTAAAGGTCAGCTCTTCTCTTTCACCATCTTACTGACGTTTCTAAACCACAGTACAACACAGCGCATTCCTTTACGTGACCTCTTTGTTGTTTCCACCAGGAGCTCGCCCTGAGTTGAACATAGATATAGTGATCGGGGAGACGGACTACACCTCCTACGCGATTATGTACTACCAGAAACACGGCAAGATGACACTGAAGCTCTACGGTGGGCTCTATGTTTGGTACTTTACGTCTAACAGCCAGATTGTGGCGCTGTATTCTTTATGTATTCTGTACGTTGTGTTGTGTATGCAGGCAGATCTGTAGACAACCTATCAGAGCCGATGTTGACCAAGTTTGAAGAGCTTGCTGAAAAACAGGGTTTTAGCCTGGCCTACCTGTTCCCCTTCCCCACCTACAGTACGTTTCTATCCACCTGAAAAGCACATCAGAATATCAATGTCAGCAATACTTAACGGAATCTAGCATGGCTGGATCTCCAGTAATCAGCATTCTGTCAAGAATTTTCAAAATAGAATAAGAAACTAACTGTGTGCTAATTGCTTTTCCTTTCTAGGTCATTGTGGCGCTGTGGACCGGGATCATATAATCAGTAAGCTGACTCAAATATTACGTTAAAAATGATCGGGGCAGAGGTGAATGGAGAGGGTGACAAATTCATTTTTAGTCCCCATTATATGCAAAACATATGTACACTTTCAAACAAGAAGGATTTTTTTTGTAGGTCAGAGAACTTCAACTGATGTCCAGGTTCTATAGCTGTCAGTTGCAGGTTTAATGTACAGCGTATTAAGTATTTTCACGTGTCGCTGCACACTGCAGTTCTTTGAGAATCGTCTCCAGGCTCTGTACTGCTCCAGACTTATTTAAAGAAATTCACCCTGTACAGTGCGACTGCTAGAAGCTGCGCTGGTTCAGTGCATTACATGTCGATCATCATTTCACCTTAAGCCACAGTTCTGGTGTGGGCCTGTCATTGTACTTCTTTGTCATTTATAGCTTTAGAAAGAAACAGTCTTTCTTCTCTCTTTGTGTTACATGGTTCTTATGTTCTTTATTGAGTTTTCTAAGATGTTCAATGTGCAGCAATGAAAAAGTGTTGTGCACTAATTAGGTCATTAAGAATGCCAGATTGAAGCACATTTATTGCTTTCCTCGGGTTCATTCGTTATAGATTAAAACATGTGACTCGGAACTATGTAGCTTTAAAAAAGGCTGTTAACAGTAGAGAACAAGATTGTTTACACAAAATAATGTCCAGTATTATCACATTTAATAATATACCCGTCACACTTGCCATTTTATAATTTTTGCTTTTATTTTCGATATTACACCGTTAATAATATTTCACTCACACATACAAGTCCTTAACTATTATTGGAGTATTTAAAATGCAGGTAATGGAGCTTCTTTTTCACTGAACGATCTGAACACTTCTTATGCTTACTCTGACAAAGAAATTATTTTTCAAAGTAAAAGCCCCTAGTTAGCGTTAAAAAAGGTTAACATGATGCATTGAGGTACAGTACTATATAAAAATAAAAGTTCTGACATGTTACAAAAGGCTTGCCAGGGGCTGTGACATACAATATGCTGGCTTTTCAAAATAAACACACCACCTCATGACTTCCCCCTGCACTTCAGTGTCAAAACAAAATCTCTCTGATGTCCAAAGGAGCATACCAGATGCTACTTCTTTCTGTCTCTTTCTCACACACTTAAATGATGGACAAACCATCTGTATGATTAGGTTCACTTTCAAAATAAGAGTCCATACCGAGCAGCAAAGGTTAGTGAGCAGCTCTGTTTCAGCGCCCACCAACAACACTTTATTTACAAGTAGTTGATAAGATTTTGTGAAGTATTCTACATTTTTAAAGTAAAAACTCAGAGATGTTAAAAGGATCTGATCAGGGTTTGTGATGTATACTGCCTTTTAAAATGTACATAAATAAATTATATTCTTTGTATAAATTTAGCAGGACATATTAACCAGCAGCAGTTCTAGTTTGATTTAATAAGCTATAAGATGTTGTTGTTTAAGTACAGACAGGATTTTGGTTTTTGGAATATCAAAAATGGATTCCTTTATTAGTTAGTGATGTTATGAAAGCTGTCTGGTACAATAAAGAATGTGCAATCAAAGTGGAAGATCAGAGTTGACAGTTTTAAAATATAGCATTTTTAATTCAAATTAAAGGTGGAGTATGCACTTCTAATCTGATAGCTCTGATCTACATAATGAGTATTCCAACATGCCCTGTTGCATGTTTGTGCAGAGCACAGAGGGATGGGAAAGGGGAGGGGAGGTGGAAGGAAAAGGGGGTGATGGGAGTGAGACGGATATTTTATCTAGCACATGCTAAATATCAGGAATCATCTCCAGAATCGCAGACTGCACCTTTAATGAGAAGCGCTTTTAGTGATAAAGCACAGTTGAAATATGGTGCTTACTGAGTTTAAGCTAAAGCTCCGGCCTGGTTTCTAAAACTGTGACTTGGGGTCATGAGATTCCTTGCAAAATGGGAAACACCTAATGGACTTATGGGACCTTCACCCTGATCTCCATGTAATAATGGGTCACAGCTTCACAACACTTTAACAAAATGTGAGGTGGCACGTTTGCAGCTGTGCATTTACAAGCAACATCCTACTATTTATTTGATGAAAATGTGATTGGAAAGCAGTACATCCCATGAGGAGAGAGAGGCAATAAACCATCCCTAGCATTTGTCCCCACAGGCTGTGCATGTGATCAACTCATCTTGTGATACAAGCAGTTTTAGAAATTTGTCAACAACACGTTATCCAGCTCTCACACCCTGCTGAAAACTTCAGAGCAGCTTGCATGCAATTTAACCTGTCAACACTCCTTGTTTTGCAGACTGTGTTCCCACATGTTGAAGAGGTGGAGCTGCACAATGGACCACAAAGAGAAAATTGTTGAAAGAATGAACCAGTGCATTGAAAATGTGAAAAAAAACTTTAAATTGTACGGGTTACAGAAAAATAAAACGATAGCATGAAATATAATTATTGTCAAATGCTCTCAGCTTTAAAGAAATTCAACGTCTCCTTGCATGCCATCAGCTAATTCTGTGGGGATGTCATTATCATGTTAGCTGCATCCTAACTTAAGATCCCGAGATATAATATATAGAGTGTGTGACTGTATGCTCGCCTCTGAGGACACAAAAAGAGAGTTGGGGGTTGTGGCTTGAGAAAATAAGACACAGATGTGAAGCACAAACGGGGTTGAGAGAGTTTGGTTACAAAACTAGGTTACCAAATGCACTCCTTTACAGCTTCCCCCTTCGCTCCACCCAGCACGTGTGTGTTTGTGTGTATGTGTGTGTGTTACATAACCAGCTGATTGCAAGCCGGTGCCTGTCTAGTCTCCCAACAAAGGGAGCTTTGCAGAATTCACTGCTAATCAGCACTTAATGTATTAGGCATTGTGAATTATACAAAGTGTCCTACAATGTAATGGATTAGAGGGAGTTACTTTCTCATAAAGCAGAGATCAATGCAACATTTAATGTCAAACAAGAGGATGTGGTTCATTCAACTCTCCGTGCTCGGTCAGTTGTTATAAAACTGAGAAGATTCCTCCTAAAATTTGAATGCTTCATGAGTTTTATAACTAATTGCGCTCAAAAAGAAAAGTGATCTGAGTGAGTGAGTGCAAAGAGCGATCAGGTTGCTGTATGAAACTCTGGTTATTTATCACAAATAGTGAACCTAATTTTCACAGTGGAGTCTTTAAATATCACTGCTGCAGAGCTCCTGGCTGTACATTAAATTTTCACTACAATCGTTTAGTTATCCAGCAAACTGTGACATGCTTTGATTTCTTATTCAGATGCAGTTTATTGGCTCCCAGATGGGCTCCTGGAAATTTACAAAAGTCCTCCTGATCTCTTGTTTCTGGCACGTTTTGCGGGGCTTCCATGTGCCATATGGTGAAGGCATTTGCCCTCTTACCAAACAGGTGTTTTGATAGGCCGGTCATGCCTGAACGTTTGTGATGGAGGGAGGGAAGGGGAGGGGTGCTAAAAGAACCCCATTATGCACCAACTCTCCCCCCCCTCCCCTCTTACCCTCACCTCCCCTCCTCACCTTCTCCATCCACACGTGCCAGTTGTGTAACAGCAGTGATTCGCAGGCAACTGGGTGAAGGCCAGAGAGTTTTTGTAATGCAGAAGCGGCAGGAGGGAGGGAGGAGACAGAGGAGGGAGGAGGCGATGGGGCAGCAGCATATAAGAAGCCTCCACTGGTCGTACCGTGTTACACTGTCCTGATACTTCTCATCTGAAGCTCAGAGCATACAAAGAAGAAGCCATGAGGAACGCACTGCTGAGGATGCTGGCTGCCTTGATGTGCACGCTGGCCGTCTTTGCAGATGTCATGCCTGTGAAAGACTTCAACCTGGAGAAGGTAAGAAAAACATTTAATTCAACTGGAAAAAAGTTGAAGAAAGAGTTATTAGCTTGATATGTTGAATGCAATCATGTAACCTTAAGGAATATTAAAAATATAAGGGATGCTGTGAATGTGCAGTTTGGGTAACTTCTCCATTACTATTCATTGATTGATTGAGTGAGGAGAATACTCATCATCCCCCTTCTGTCTTTCTTTCAGATGACAGGCAAGTGGTACATGGTTGGCTTTGCTACCAATGCTCAGTGGTTTGTGAGCCACAAGGCGTTGATGAAGTCGGGCGTTGCTCAGTTGGCGCCAACTGAAGGAGGAGACCTGGACCTCTCCTACTCCAACCTGAAGTAAGTGATTGCTATTAAACTAAAACATCCTTGTGATTGTTTTTCAAAATAAACTGACCCTGGTTTCTCTCTCTGTTTTTCCAGTGCTGATGGTACCTGCTGGAGAATGACTCACCTGGCGAGGAAAACTGACACTCCTGGACGCTTCACCTTCCACAGCCCGGGTGAGTGGAGAGCGAACAAAACACTGAGACACACAGGAGAGATGTAAAAAGAGAGAAATCTAACAGCATGACTTTGGTGTATTTCTGCATTCCTCAGTTTGGAACAATGACAACGACATGCGCATTGTCGAGGTTGTGTACGATGACTATGCTCTGGTCCACACCATCAAGACAAAGAACGAAGTGTCTGAGGTGCTCAACAAGCTTTACAGTAAGTTCTGCTCATTAGCATCACAGCAGCCTTCTGGGAAATCGTTTTACATTTGGTGTTTGGTACACTCGGAATTTGGCGAATGCTTAAGAACCTACACTGTGTTCGCAGGCCGTACTCCTGAGGTCAGCGATGTCCTGAAGCAGAAGTTCACCCAGTTCTCTTTGGACACTGGCATCCTGTCTGACAACATTGTAATCCTGCCCAAGAACGGTATGTTATGAACACGGAAAAATCCACCTCTTATCATAGATGCACTGTGATTGATTGTGTTTCAAACCTTTCCCTCACCTACTTCCTCGTATGTGTTGTTACAGCTGAGTGCCCCGCATCCTAAAGTGCCCCCATCCCGCATCCTCCGCCCTTCATCTCGCCGTCTTGCAAGTGCCAGGCTTTCATGTCATGGGGAGTCTCGTCGCCTTCCTCACTGTGATGTCTGCAGCATCACTAAGCTACACTAGGGGCAATGAAACTCAAGCATTTTCACTCTAATCCCCCCCCGCTACATACCAAAGCCCAGCCCTGATCCTGGTTCAGATTTCATGCATCTCCAACTTCTGCATTAACTGTGGCATTAGAGTGGAATGATAAAGGGCTAATTGTGAGAAAAAATGAAAGGCAAAAATAAGAATGTATAAGCTGTCGGTGTGTTTTGTAACTGCTGTTTTCTTTTGTAGTGTTTTTTTTCTTTTATTGAAATGAACTCAAAGCCAATAAAACTATTAAAACAATGTTTGTGGGCTCAGCGTAATTCTTTTTGTGGTCAGAAATTCAAGTGGAAGTCACATCAGGACTATTTGTGTTGCATACTGCCCCCTATTGGCTGATTAACTGTTTAAAACTACAGCTTATGCTACATTCTACATTATAAGGTGCATAGTGTTTATCAGAAAGTTTAGCGATGAGCTGCAATTATACACATATGTGGTTGCAGCACATATGGTTTAGATTAGGAGTTGATAGGGGGATTATAATGAAGTGTAGTCATACAAACTAATAACAGGGTGGCCTAATAATAATACAAAAAAATATAGATATATACAGTGCTTAGGTTTATTAGACCACCACCCATTTATACCACAGCTGCTCTAAATTAACAGCACTGGTAATTACCAAAATCATTTTTAATGTTTCTGTAGTGGTCAATACACCAGTATGTAGAAGCTCTTTAATCAAAATGACATTTTTAATGCTAAATTATAGTTATCCATTTACCATTTTACAAAAAAAAAACACAGAAGAAAATAGTAAAGCACATTATTATTACTTGATTATGATGTCAAATTATACTTATGTACTTGCATTCCTGAACAGAAAAATGAGTTTTAGTGGTTAAATGTTGCCCTTCATTCATGTCTGACTTCTCAGAGAAGCCCAGTGAGCCGGCTCAAATTTTAAAAAAGGGTTATAAATGAAGGTCAATTCAGTTTGAAATTCCCCAATTCCTATTCAAAATGCTAAAACGTGAGAGCTGAGTGTGCATTAAAGTACTTCATGATGCTGGATGGTATATACATACATGCATACATACATACATACATACATACATGTATGTGTGTGTGTGTATACAGTGCTTAAAAAGTTAGACAGGTGGTCTAATAAAGTTGGTATATATATAAATTTGTATGTCACACAATAATGCTTGTATGCTGAATCAAGGATTTCACTGTCTTGAGGACTTGTCTATAAAAGCTGCTTTATTTTGTATACCTTTTTAATCTTTTATTTTGTTGTGTATTTGACTTGGTTCCACACATTTATGTTTTATTGATTTGTAAGTGTACTTACTGCTAATTCCGTAAAGCCTGTTGTCTCCTGGTTGTTCTTAGACTGGTCATCACACTGCACCACACAATTGTTCTTCCTAATGGACCTGCACCACATTTCCACAAGAGGGCAGTATGTAATAAATGAAGCAAAAACTGACAATAATTTCAGTTATTTCAACCATAATTGCAGCCTAAGTGACCCAGTTCAGTGAATCAGTGTAGCTGTGATGAATTCCCACTGACTCAGTGTCCTCCTTTCTCTCTCCTCAGCCTCTCCAACTCTCTTTCCCTGGATGTATCTTAGACTCATTCTTCAAAATAATTCATTTCCTGCACCTCTGCTCTTCCTAATTATGATTTTCTTTTTAATTTTATGGCATATTCATTGAAATCGGGTAAATGAAAGCAAAGAGAATCACGATTATATGGTTAAATAGCAGCGATGTTCCATGACAATGTTACAGCCTTTTCTGTGACATGTATGTTAAAGTGGTGCGTAGAAAAAGACTGATAATAAAGATCAAACACTCTTTATTGAACTCAATAGAACCGAAAGCAAAACATATGGGTTATGGTTTTGTCTGTCGGTGCTGATAATCCATTATAATCTTTGTTAGGTTCAAACCGCATATCAAGGGTGTGTGTGTGTGCATGTTTATGTGTAGTCTGAGGAGTTAAATTAACAAAAAAAAAAGAATGCAAGTAGAGTCACTTATTTGCCTGAAAAGGTGTGAGAACAGAGTAAATCTTGTTTGAGGCCTCAGTAGAAGGCAGGCTGATCACCAGCTACCCTAATGTCTGATAAAGTGATCTACAGGTAACACTTAACCCCCGAGGTGATGATGATGATGTACAAATCCTTCATGGAAGAGTGCGATAGGAGCAATTTGACCAAACAGATATAGAAAAAAAAAAGCAAAATTCACAACAAAATAACAAAGTTGGCAGCTGGTTGAAACTGTAACACACTGTACTGTAAATGTCATGGTAAGGTAAACATGTAGGTAAACAATAACTGACAGGAAACAAAAAAAAAACATGGTTAGAACTTGCACATCTTTTGAATGCATGTTGGACAACAGTGGCACTGTAGCGTGAAGCTCAGTTCACAAAGCAGCCGCCTCCTCATTCTCTTCTTTGCTCATGTAATTGAACAAAACAGCCTTGACCCGTCGCTTTATCGGACACGTGCGTCACAAAGGGGAGATGTAAACATGGTGCAGCTCTCCCATGCGTCGGCGAAGCTGCTCCCGCCGCAAAAGCAGCCGCGCTCGCTAAAGTCTGCCTTCTTTAAGATTTGAGAGATTCTGAATTCAAAATCAAGCTTCGATCGTGATTCGTGGCCAATCGAACGCAGCACCATTTAAAACCAGGAAACGTAAAAACACCTGAAAACTTGGAGAATTCCATGCAGCAGCGGTCAAGTTTCTGTCGTAAGTTTGTGCTAAGTAGTGCGAGGCAAGGCGAAAACGGCTCAACACCCTGAAGGCACAATGGATTAAGAAGCCAATTATCATCTTAACCTCGTCCCAGGTATTGTTCAGATATTAACCGATTTTTATTTATTCTTTTGTTTCATGCTACTTCAGCCGCCTAATGCATGGAGTTTAGCGCGTCAATAGAACTCATCAAGTCAAGTTGTTCGATCTCGTCTCGTCTCTTCTGGCACTTGTTTTGTCCAATATTCGACCCTCACACATGGATGCATGCAACCTACAGCCCAACGTCAGTCTGAGATGGAACGCAAAATAAAAACCTCGCGAACTCGAACATTAAATGCAAAAAAAAAAAATCTGACGTAAGACTCAAGTGTTTGGCAAAGAAACAAACCGACAAGTCTGAATGAGTAAAGGCTCACTGGTTTCACCCATTCCGAATTCAAAGAAAGCTGCCGCGATGAGCCGAACCAACCATGGAGTGTCATGATTTCCCATCATGCTCTGAGAAACCCCTCTCTGCCCTTCCACAGAAAGGAATGTCCCATACAATCGAATGTCATAGGATTTCAACATAAAACTCTATATTTCACACATATATAATGCAATGGACAGACGTATGATATCGCTGTAATAGAGATATGAAACTTCTCATCAGTGTTTATGTAATTGGACTCTGAATAAATCTTTTGAGAAAAAGAGAAAAATAACACAAAATACTGTATTTACAAAGTGACTTTTGGCATCCATATTCAGCTCTATATTACCATAATATAAGTGGCACGTCAATTGATATGAGTGTTGACAGACTGGTGCATCCACAGCTTGAAAAATAACGAAAGGGTTTGGCATGTTGATTTGATCATTTTTGATATAAGATTTTTGTTAAAATATAAAATCAAAACGCAACAGGGACTGGCAATAAATCTTTGCTATCACACGACCCAGTAAGTATAATTATTTGTCATATACAGTATTCAAAGGACTCCTGAAAACTCCCAAGCACGATACAAAGAAGGACAAGCCGGTTAGTATATACATGTACAGTCTTTTATAGCTGTGCTCTGCAGAATTAGTGTCCCTCTTCTTTTTTCTAATACTCTGTATATATATATATAAAAAAAACCCAAAACAAACAAACGAACGAAAAAAAGATTTCTGTACACGTCTTTCCCACATCCCCGCCTTCTCTCGGAGATTATTGTCCTATTAGAGTAGCCAATCCTCCATCTCTCCTGTGATTAGTCATTTAATTAAACCCTCTCCATCTCTGTGGCAACTGATGGTCTAACAAATCGCTTCCTCTCCCAGAGTTCCATCACCGGCCGTTAGATGAACCACTCCTTCTTTGATTCGTCGATGGTCTCCGGGTTGTCGGTGCCGATGATGGCCGTGTCCGCTGATTCTGCGGCGGATTCCCCGCTGCCCTTGGCCTCGTTGGTGTGGTAGGTGCCTTTGTGACGGAACATGTAGCGGATCAGGAACACCAGAGTACATAAGATGGTGAAGATCACCACCGCAATGATACCTGCAGGACAGACACACATCAGGGATGTTTGAGTCACTGCTACTGCCTGCCTGTAGTTTATTCTGGCATCTTAAAAACAGCACCAGAGTGAGTGAGTTTGTGTCCAAGCAAGATTTAGAAAAACTCATTCATGCATTTTATTACTTGAACCACTTTAATAGAGTAATTGCTGGCCTCTAATGGGACTGATTATTTGCAACTCATTCTCAAAACGCTGCGGCTAAAATACTCACAAGCACCAATAAGACAGAACACTCTGATTCTTAGTTCCCTACACTGGCTTCCAGTGAAACATAAAATTCAATTCAAGGCTCTGCTTATTGTCCATAAGTGTCTGAATGGTTTGGGCCCAAAATATATCAGAGATATGTATTCTGACGACAAGCCTGAGAGATCTTTCCAGAGTTCAGACCAGACACAGTGAAATGGTGTCAAGTCATTTCA